GGGCCTTCCGTGTGATTGGATCGATATTATTTGGGTCAACACCCGCTTCCAGGGGAAGTTGATCTTCTGTCCAACGTCATGTCTTCGGTGGGGATGTGGGTGTTCATTGTGCAAGTATTTTTGTTGGCTGCTACTGCTACTGCTTCTACAAGGACTGCTAGGGTGCCTATTTCATGACATCCATCCGCTGAATAATTTGATCGATTACCGGCTGGGCCAAGTTGGCCTATGATCGAGTAAGCCAAATGTTGCAGTTGCCCACAAGATCCATCAATCTGATTACTGATTACAATATACTTGTTTGAACCATTGAAAACCAGAAACAAGGCAGAGGCTCACCTTGTGTTGTTGTATGTTGCTGTGATGCCTTTTGGACACTCCCATCAATTTGGTGAGGTCCTCATTATTTAGCATCAGGGACGATGGAACACTCTTGCTGCTAAGTGGAATTTAGTTGAAGTCATTTTCCAGTGTAACCTTCTACCCTTGGAGAACTGACGTTTTCCACGGGTGGCATCACCTGCAGCAGGTCTGGCTGGGCAACTAGTTAGTAAGTAGACAAAACAAGGGGGTGGCCTGAGACACTTGCTTTTGCCATTGGCCTCCAGGGTGTCCTGGAAATCCAAGCATCAGAGCGTGCCTTTGCTGCGCTGCTCAAAGATGGCGCCTCGGGTTTTCACAGTTGCTGAAGGAGCAAGATCCAAGCCAAGAGTCTTCAGTGTCCCATTATTGGCAGATCGGATGGCACTATGGTTAGAGTATAACAGAATACCCCTTTTTTGGCTCAGTGCTTCCTCCAACACAGCCCCCGCCGTCATGGCATGGCGGAAATCAACCAGAGCCAGGAACAAGGTGATAATCAAGAGCCAAATATTTGTAATGGGGGTTAACCTACAAAGCTGTCCATGATTGTAGGAACTATATTTATAATGCTACCCAATAAATAGTACAGATATATGTGTATATAGATCTATCTCGAGACCCATCCGGTGGACTACTTACGTCCAACATTGAATTCCGGGATGTAGTTGTTGAGATGCTAAGAGTTCTCAGAAAGGACCACTCACTCACCCACCCACTCACTCTCTCTCTCTCTCTCTCACTCGCTCATTCACTCACCCATGAGCCTGAACTGAGAGTAAGGCAAAGGAAAGCATGATCCACTCCAAAATTAGAACCACTCCCTCACCAGGCCAATGTTGGTGTTACTCCCTCACCACTCGCAGCATCGAACCAATTCAATCAGTCACCGTTTGGACTCGACTCGTCGGGCCCTCAGGGCGTGTGGTCACCTGGGGGGTTTCCTGGCTTTGGCGGTGACAGCAGCAGGGTCCGAGATCAGCAGCTCGGCGAGATTCGCTGGGCGGGTTGGTTCCAAGCCCTCGCACCCGACTTGGCTTGATCTTTTTGTGAAGGGCCTATATATACTTACATAATTATATATATATATACAGTTCTCCTCCTTAATTTCGTCAACATGAGAACTCCGCGTCTTTTGTTCTGGACTGTGGAGCCCAGACTTGAGAGGGTGACTCCCTTCGGCTTGCAACACCAGAAGCACAAACTGGTGGTGATTTTTTTCCATATGGAGTTGCCTGCCGTCCCAAGAAGAGAATCAAGCCTACGGGGATTTATCTCACTGTCCACCCAGACCAGCCAGCATAGATTTGTGCGAAGAGATGCGCTATTGGTGCATCTTTTACATGCATATCTCAAGATTCAGGGTTCAGACTACAGCAAGGCTAGCTATGCAAAACAACTCAAAGTTCTTGTAAGTATATGCGATTCTCTTGAAAGTAGTGCAAGAAACTTGTGGATTTCAGAAAGATTTGGACAGCTTCGGAAGGGATCAAGTTTGGCCATTGGAGGTATTTGATTTATGATGATTTATGAAATGGAAAGGCCCGGCAACCACCAAGAATGGTTTCGTTTAAACATATTGGACGTTTTTTCGCCATCCCAAGGCTCTATGACGTGCACCAGATCCAGTCCACTGTCGCCGCCTTCGCCGCGGTGCGCACCGCAGCCCGACTCGACCCGGCCGGGCCGTGGATGGCATGGCCATGGCATGGCCCTGATGACTCGGATGACCATGTGTGAAATCCGAAGACCATGACTCGGTGTGAACCTCACCTTCGATTGTTCCAGGGAGTGCAGATGTCCTGGAATTGTGTATATATATATATAGTATTTTATATAGGATCATGATGAGTCAAGAACTCTACAACTTTGCATGGCAGAGTCCTCCAGTCTGCAAAAGCAGGATCCTCCAGCAAAGTAAACCAACATGACACCACCTGGTATAGAAAGCGGGAAGTCCAGTCCAGTCTTGAGTCTTCCAACTATTTCGAGGCATGTTTTGTTGAGTCTTATGATGTTCGGTTATGCTGTGTCTCAAAAAGAGGACTTGCCAGAAAGAACCTGGACCTGGACATTTACTTCCTTCTCCGTTTTGAGACCTCCCTTCAAGACCCAAGGCGAAAGGAAAGCCTTTTGAAAGCTCAAATGGGGCATCTCTAGACCTAACTTCCTCAGGATGGCTCAGTGGTTACCTGGGGTGACCCCGAGCACGGTGGCGACAGCAGCAACCTCCAGGAGCGGCTCGGTATTTCGAGACAGCACTAGCTTTGGATCGGTATGTTTGTTTGTTTGGATGACAGGTGTATGCCTCTTGCCCGTTCCAGGAGCGCTTGGTGGAGGTCCAGCAGATCCAGTCGACCTTGAGCGCCTTCGCAGCGCTGCGAAAGGAGATTTCTCTTCCGGGGTGTTGGATGCATTTTCGTCAGAGATTGAAGGGCACCTCGGTTTCAGGATGGGTCCAGTTTACTGCTTTGGGGATCTTTTGGGGCTGACGTTCTCAAGTGGTGGGCTGTAACTTGCGGACCCACCATCTTGCACCACTCTGAGTCAAACAGAGTCTTGGCTTCGTACTGCGCAGTGGAACTGATGATCCGAACATCTATATACACAGATGTTGGTGCGCCATCCACGGCAACAGGATGGCTCAGTGGTGACCTGGGGCAGTCGCTATGGAGGTGGTGATAGCGCCAAGGTGCAAGATCAGCTGAAGAGACTTGGTGGTGCTTTGATAAAAACATGATACTGGATATACCGGGTGCTCGCGGCTAGAGAGAATCCTAGGTTTAGTTGCCGGTGGAAAAGGACAAATCCTCAGGATTTCAGAGCAAAGCAGCTAAGACATGGGAGGATGACATGGAGCCACGAACATCAACCAGCCTCCGCTAGGAAAAACCGACCGAGACTGGTGCCTCAGGTTTCTCTAGCATCATCTAGATCACGTCCTAGCAATTTGCTCATCATGATGTCAGGTCCTGTTGTTGTGTGCCATACTTGTTTGGGATGCTGGGCCACAGTCCAGCTTGAACCTCCCAAAGCCTTACCCAAACTACACGGTAATTTGATATTTGGAACTTGGCAACGACACGATCGAAAGCACAGGGAAACTTCCCACAGCCACACCAGCACTTGCAGACACGCAGACACGGAGGGAGCGGGATCGGGAGAGAGAGAGAGCCAGTGAGCCATCCGGGGGCTCTCGCATGGCAGCGCGGTCGTCTCTGAGGGATGTCCAGCAGATTGCGGCCTCCAGAGACGACTTCGTGGCCATGACGCTGGAAGGTGAGGTCTTTCGACGGACTCGAGGGTTTCGGGACAAGCCCACATGTCTTTTGGTGGAAAGATTTGGACAGATTCGGAACGGATCATGGTAGCCAGGTAGCCAAGCCATAAAGCTCATGACTTCGGGAATCTTGTTGGAACATGTTCGAACTGGTGTGTATATCACATAATTTCACATCTAATGTTCGCTACTAGGAACAAGTGCATCGCTTCTAGTAACAAGTGCCTTACTAG